ATTGCACTATGCGAATGAACAAGGTATGTGCTGTTATTTTAGATATCCCTTGTAATTTAGTCTACAACATAGTTCACAACAGTATTTCATTCTCCTGCACTTAAAAATACATTTTGTTGCATAAATACATATTTGAAAATTAAACAGGCAGTTTGCAACACCCAGCTATCAAAGACTTCAGTTCCAACTACCTGCATGAATACATGTACATTGTGCAAACCCAGAATATCATAAATACATGCATGAGTGACTAATAAAACAGAGCTTAAGCCGTCCAAGTGCCCACAGCTCTGCCCAGCTAAATGTGCAATCACGTGAACAGATCCAAGTGCATGTATTGTGCACAGCTGCATCTAGATCAGTCCTGTGACATCCATGTATAATCCCCATGTCTGACTCTTGGTTTGGTGTCATGAGAAGGCCACGCGGGAAAGCCTGCGCTAACACTGGTGCAGACTCCTTTGCACTGTGTGCAGGCCTGTGCTTTGGCACTCTGTCTCTTTCTTAAGTTCAAGGCCAAATTTTGTTCTTGGTAGCACTGAGCAAATCTCCCAAAAGCTGGTAGATGGTTCTGAAGGCAACCAATACGTCTGCAAATGATTCAGAAGGGTCTCCGTCTGCATTACCCTTTTGATGGGTTTCCAAGGCTGCAGTAGCTGAGTCAGGCTAACGACTCTGTGATACTGCCAGGGGAACACCTTCCTCTCTCTCCACTGGCTCTGCACCTCAATTTGTGAGCAGATGCAACTCAGTAATCTGGCAGAAAATTATCTGACTTCCCCCTTTTTCTGCTGCATTTTCTGCTGGGCTAGTGAGTTGAAATGACTCACTGAAGACATCTTAACACCAGATCAAAGAAAGGTGAGTGGCAGGAAAAAACGGAAGGGCAAAAGAAAGGAGAAAAGCAAGCCCCATTTTGGAGCCAGCTACCCCCATCTTATGGAAATCACAGCCTGTACTGTGGGGCAAAAGCTTACCTTTTACATCGGAGCACAATATAGTCAGGAGCACAGCCAGCTCACTGTAAGCCACCCCACACAAGCACCAGCTTACAGGCTGTGCTGGACAGGAGCAGTATGGTGTTTTGCCAGCTGCCCTTTTGATTTCATGGTAAAAGGTACTCGGTGTCAAGAGACACGGTAGGAGACCCCAATCTTTTGCTCAGGCAGAGAAGAAGGCTTGTAAGAGTTGGCAGCACTAGCCCCTGGCCACACTGCCGTGTCTTAGCACCGGGGAAGCTGCGCACCATCGTGGTGAGCTTGCAACTTGCTGGTGGAGGAAGTTTGACACCCTCAGTCGGAGTACTCGGAGACAATTACAAGCAACTGAGTTGTCACCTGTCAGCTGAGCCACAGAGACTGGAACATATCCTCTCCCGCCAGCGTGAGACAAAACCATGACAGTGGTTTAAATCAGAAGTCTCCCTTCCAGTGGGTTAACAACCCTCCCAGGGCCTTAATACAAATGGTAATTCATTAAGCTGTGGTCACTCGATTCCTTGCAACTGTCCACAAATGAAGACTGGGTAATATGTTGTGCTAAATGCCCTTCAAAGCTACTAAATTTATTTTTGGAGTATGATACTACTTGGGTATCATATTCTGGCCATATGTGTTTAACTACTTCAACAAGTAGTCTACCGGGGGCTGCCCCGTCAGAATTTGCCAGGCAATCTGCCATCAGCACCAACTGGACGCTGGAGTTACTACAGATGTTGCAAAGCAGAACAAACCCACCCCTGTAATATTGAGGCTATTACAATAAGCACACATACTCCACAGCTTATCCCCCAACCAGACAACCAAAAGTTGCTGATGTGCCCTGCTAAGCCAAGGGTATCAGAGACGTTGCCTCACCCAGCACACGGGCTGGACATTACCACAATACTGTGGTAAACAACAACTCAGACAGTATGTGGAGTCAAGAAGTCATGGGAAATTCTTTTTATGACCTCCCAGCTCAAAACCCAAGAGTGTCCATCTTCTTTCTTCTGGTCACTCTGAGCATTTTTGGTTCCTGCTGATGGAGCCAAGGTCTGTGTTGGGGCTGAATTACAGCACTGATGCAAAGCAGCACTTCAAAGACCTGCTTACAGCACGGCACATCCGCAGCCAGTGATCTGCCTCCTCGGAGACAAGAAGAATTGTGGAATTACCACACTAATTAGCCCACACAAAATAGCCCACTCTGAAGCAACACGCCTAAGGCATACCTGGAGAAGATGTGAACCATTGCCAAGCTCTGAGCCTGATAATAGTATGAGAAGGAATTCGGTTATAAGGTCTGGTTTCCTGCCTTGTGGGGCTTGAGGAGAGACACAAGACAGCCACGCCATGGGATGGCTTATTTCCTTTCCCCTACAAGCTCAAGGCAGCTCTTCCCAGCAAAGAGGGGTGGTTGGGCAGGGGAGGAGACATGGGAAGCAAAGATCTGCTGCTGCACAAAGGCCAGCTGATACCCAGCCTTGTGTTGCAGCACAGGAAAGGCAAGGTGGGGAAGTAGGTCAGAATCTGCAATAGCTGCCACTAGGAAGTGCTGAGATGAGTGCCAATGGGGGAGAAACAGATCAAAGACTTTCCTAGAGGTTGGCTCCATGGCTGAGCTCTCACCTGACACCCCTAGGGAGCTCCTTGGCATGGGACCCCCCACGCTCCAGCGCATACTAAGAGCAGCTGCCTGAGTCCTCAGTGGGAAACAGCAAAGAAATCCCACAGGGAGCAGCATCAGCCTTGCAAAACTATTTTTAACTATATCACATTAAAAGCACTGCCGTGAAAAGGCAAGGCTGTGCTAGCAGCAATCAGATGGCTGCCCTCATCTGGAAGCTGAGCAGCCATCCTGCTGGCTGCACCCAAAGACTTTTTGTGCTTCCCTCTCCTTCACCTACAAGTCAGATTTGCCACGGCACTGAAAGTCATGGACACAGCTTGCACTCATGTCAGTAGTGTCATGATTTGGTCTCAAGCCCTAAAGCCAAGTCACAAAAGCATAGCTCTACAGTATGAATGACCGCCTGTGCCCACCAATCCACTGCCTACCCTACAGCCCTGAGAGACAGCGGCCAGTAACTCTGAGGTTGCAGATTTGGTGGTTACACTGCCACAGCATGCAAGACCCTGGCATAGCGGGTACACAGGAAACCCAGCCTTGCTATGTGTGGGGCACAAAGAGGTCAGAGCCAGGCTGTGTCACCTGCAGAAAGCTTCATGGGAGGACAGATGTTTATTATAGTGGAAATCTCTGCTCTTAGATCTTCCAGTGGCACATCTGCTACCTAGCCCATCCCCAAAACGAACCTTCAATAAGGCTTGTGAGGTGCAGGCATTCTTCCACCTCCCTCACACACAGGAACATTTCATCCTAGCAACACAAAAAACAGGTTTTAAATGGTGCCAGGTGGGTTATTTTTATTTCTGTCTACTACCTTTGTTTCACCCTTTCTTTGGAATTAGTGATTATTAAAGTCACTGCACAGTTGCAGATCTAAAGAATATGAAGGATATGCAGGAATGTAAAGGAATAAAGACAAACAAGCATAAAGAAACACAACAACAACAACAAAAACAATGACAAAACGAAAACAAAAAATCCCTCAGTAACAGTTTGATCCAACACCCATGGGAAGTCAGCTGAGGTTGACTCTTTCATTGACTTTAGTGGGCATTAGATCACCCCAGCGGACTTGTCTGAAGCCTCATCATGGCTCTAGGATATCCTAGTGGAACATAAACTAAACTGAATTACTTGAGAAGTACCATACATAATTTTAAAGATCAAGAATTATAATTGTTCACTGAAATACTGAATTTGTTAGTGTTTTCTTCATACTTAGAGAAGAAGAACAATTATGTTGCACAGTCAAATGTTGGAACAGTAGCACTCATTATTTCAAGTCTTTAAGGACCAAATTCCGCCTTCAGATTCACATGCACATTTTCCATTGTCTGCAATGGAAATAGATGTGTGGCTGACTTAAACTTGTTTTCCAGCACTTAAAACTATCCAGCTTTTTCATTTTCTGTAGTAAATATGAAATTATCATTATACTCTCTATGCTGTTTTTTTGTGGATTTCAAATGATGGCTTAAGACATATCTGATGCATTTTTTCGGTATAGTTTGGGATGAGATTGTGGATTTTTCTGCACTGCTGCATTCCCCAGAATACTGAAAGAGTGGGTCTAAGTCAGTAGATTTTACATTAGGTATACACAGTGACAAAATACTAACAACCCATGCTTAAACAGTTAAAATTATGTGTACGACAGTGGTTTTGCCGTTATACTGTTGCATATTGTTGAAAACAATACTTTTTAGTCTAAAGCCCAGCAACATTTTGATCACAGAAAATCATCAACAAAAACAAAAGTTAAAAATAGCCTTTAGCTGACTTCAGGATTTTTTTCCCATCTGGCATAAATTAGCCTCTGGAAACAAAGTAAAAAACAGACAAAAATTGTTGTAAATGGTTTCATGAACTTACATTGATGTATCTCTTATTTCTTGGTCTTGCTGATCAAGAATAAGCCAGCAGGTAAGAAGCAGCAGCCAGTGATAAGTTTGCCTCCTCCACTCTGGGAGGTCATGTTAAAATAAAAAGTTGAAAAAAAGCTTTAAAATAGAATTGCTATGTAAGCCTCCCTGGGGACATACACTCACTGATGTGTACATGTTAAAAATGGTATTTCCAGTCTATCTTCTGTTGCCTGAGAACCATTTTTGTCCTTTTAAAATCTGCATTTATATTATAACCCATAAGTACCTTTCATTTTTGTATCAACACTATAAATACTGTGTTAGTAATACTAAACTATTTCTATTGACTTATTTGTAAAAAGAAAAATATATTATATATTTATATATTTTTATAAAGTGAATTAACACTGGAGAGAGGGCTATGGGGGAATAGTGTACAATCACAGTTGATGTGTATTATTGGGCACAAATTCAATGCTTGAAACAAAAAGGAAAAGAAAAAAGTGTTCAGGTGATATCCCTCTTTCAAGCTGTGTCAGAGGAGGAGTCATAGGATGCTGACACTATGAAGTTGCCAGTATTGGAGTGGCTCGCCATGGACTGGGCAGCCTGCTGGCTCAAGTTATTGCAGATCAGCACCAGCTGGTTGCTCTGCGCTTCTGAGAGGGTGCTACAGCTCTGGTAGACACTGAAGTTGGTCTTCCTGCCGGGGATGTTGCCTTTCTCACACATCGTCTTTACCATCTTGGCAAGCTTGTTTTTCCCCAGGGCTTGGCAATTGTACCAGTGAAGCGCAGCCAAGTTGACGACGGGTTTGATGGACAGGTAAAAAGGCGCGTCCTCGTAGCGCATGGCTGGAGGCCGCCTCTGGGCATACTCCTTGTAGTCTTGCACGGGACAGGTCTGTGGGGAGTGCTGCGTGGCATACACCCGGGAGTCTGTCCCGCCTCTCTTGCTTTTGGCGTTGACATCTCCGTTGTCCGGCCCCATCCACTCCAGGTACTCCAACCCAGTCTCTGTCACCCGCAGCCGGATGTCTCCCCACTTGAGGGTGGACCCATGGAAACCTGTGCAGTGTCCAAATGCCTTAGTGTTGTTTAGCCAGACAAGGTTCAGCAGCCCTTCGGGATTGTAACGGCTCAACAAGCCTCTTTTGCGCAGGATAAGCTCATCAGCAAAGGTGAGCTTCATGGATTTGTGTGGCTTGTTTCCTTTTCCTTTACACCTCAGCTCTATCTGCTTTTGCTTTAGAGCTTCCTGGGACCTCTTGAACTCCTTATCCCTCGTAATACTGTATCCATACCTGTGTTCTTTGAGATACCGCTCCAGCCCACATTGATAGTTGGCCAGACTGTTTGGCTCGTATTCAGACCCATCCTTTTGTCTGGCGTCCACAAAGAAGGAAGCAAGGTAGGCATCAAGCTCTTTGCAGGGGATGACGTAGATCTCCCGGGTCTCAGAGGGGTACTTGGAGATGAGGAACTCTCGGAAATTGCGGAGAGCCGTCTGCGTGCTGCGAATGGTCTTCTCGTTCTGCTCCCTGCTGAGCTCTGCCGCTCTCTCATCCTGCTCTGGAAGAGCGAGAAGGGGAAAGACAAAAGAAAGCAGAAGCAGTGAGTTTGCGCGATGCGCTTTTCCCCAAAACAAATTTCCTTAAAAAGGAAAAAAAGGAAAAAAATTAAAATCAATTTCACAAAGAGCACTGGAAAACATCATTACATACCTGTCATGTGACTGAAAAGCCAACTTCAGTTTCACAAATGATGTACTAGAGTATGGCACAAAACCCAAGTGAGCTCCTCATGACACTGGGGCACAGTTTTGTGCATGGAGATTTGTGGAAAACAGTGGGATTAGAGGCAATCTGCTTTTTAGAACAAATGCAAGGTAGAAGGTTTTTCTGTGGATCCCAATGCTGTGCGCAGGGCCCAATCCAAGTAATAAGCCCATTCTGAATTGCTTCATTTGTGAAACCAGAGTTTGTACTGGTTCCAATTTTTGTCTACAAAAAATAACTAAAGCATCATATTTATGACAGTAAAAATTATCTTTAATCAGACAGTTTTTTAAAGAGCTAAATAAATATAGACAGAAATGTACAGTACAAAATAATGCAGCACATCCTAACAAAGGAGTTGGCAGGTAAAAGTACTACAGAGCAATGTGTAATTTACAAATGTACAAGAGTAAAAGAAATAGTTAATATGTTCACATCAGAAGATATGGGAGAAAAACATGATTATACAGCCTCTCTACATAATCAAGCTGTACCTTGACAGTGGAAGTACAATTAAGACCATTTCTTTTCATTTTGCAGAAAAATCAAATTCTGGAAACAACTTTATAATGCTCTATAAGGCTATACTCAAAAGTCCTTACAATCAGTGACATATCAAACCACAGTATTCAGATACTACTGCTAGGATGGTTGTTACTGACAACTGATTTTCGGGCTGATCGTAAGATAAGCATGAAAAGGATAAGCGTTTTACATGTAAGTGATGCATGTACTTAAGGACTGTTTTCTTGGCATATGCAAACTATCTGTACAAGGATGCAGCTTACAAGGACATAGGTGGAACTGTCATTATGAATGTGACAAACCTTAATGGTTTTAGAAAATGAACAGCAAATGCAGCGAAGAAAAAATTCAATGATTTGACTATTCTCTGTAACTGTGAATGGAACATTCTTTTTTCTCTCTTCCACTTAATAAGCAGAAAAGGGGAAAAAAGCAAGTTCTTTTTTGTTCTATCTCATTGCAAACCCCATACATTTTGGTGTCCTTTCAGCAGTGCCATAGGTGTTTCCCACCCAACATACACACCACAAAGTGGTATGAGACAAGGTGAAGTTCCCACTGCCTCTCTGTCATTCAGGCCAAGCTCATGTCAGGCCACGTAGCACACCCATGCTTTGCAGCAGTGTTCAGATGCTTGCTCCTCGTGCCCACTGTGCCCTGCAAGCCTGTTAACAGTGGAGGCAGCAGGGAAAGGAAGGTGGCCCTATCTCCTCCCCTAGCCCACCTGCAATGTTTCATGCGGTACAGAAACATCGGTGCACAGCTGGGCAGCTTCTCCTTCCACCCATCTACAGAGTGACTCTGAAGAGACTTCATCCCACCTCCATACCACAGCTGCAGACAGAGGCACTGGGAGTGACTTGCCCCAGGACTTGCCAGCAGGCCAGAAACAGGACTGAGTTTATATCCCCGGGGACCAGGTCCTGTGTCTTCACTGCGAGGCACCCGCTGCATCCAACAGCACTCAGTGAAACCTATTGAGAGGGGTCCTCAAAACCTCTGCAAAGCAGAGAGAGGCGGGGGTCTGCAGCTGAGGCCTTTGGAGGCTTCTGCAGCCATGAAAAATGCTGCCACAGAGCACTGAGGTTTGCTCTAACTGCACTCAAGGGAAAAAAGAAAAGGTCACCAGCCTGTTTCAGAAACTGGTTTTAATATTGTTGTCAGTATCAAAGAGCTCCTAGCAGCCTGCAGTGAAGTCTAATGCTTTAGTCGGTGTATAGGATAGATCCTTTTATTATGGCTAGATGCAGGCTGGAGATAAAGAGACAATGCTGTTTGGAGCTCCAAAACAAACATTTACTCTGGTACCTTGTTCACTGCACCCACCATCACTTATTATAGCACTGTGTAAGTAATCAGTGCTTTGACTGACAGCCCACATTTTAAGCACTGTTTCAATACAAACAGCACATATAACGGCTCAGTTTCATACATGTCATCAATCACTACTTCTTAGAGGATAGCCTGTCACAACACAGCAGTGACACCCAGTCAGTCATTTATGTTATGGCATCTTTCCTTAATCTGCAAAGGAAATTGCCATATCTGCAGCTAACAGTTATAAAACCCATGCTGAATTAAAGATCCCTTGAAGTTGCATGAGCAAAACAGTACCCCAGAACCACTGCATTCCTGCAGTGCTCTGGTGTGTTACTCCACAAGGCAGGTGGGAAATGTTAAAGATAATGGGTCAGCTTCTCATCCAGCCACATCAGGAGAGCTACGTCAATTTTGACTGTGAATCCAGCCTTCAGTGATAGTTGATTATTCTCTTCCTATGAGACCGCTCAAATATCATGGATGTCTCATAGCATGGGATGAATGCAGGGAGGCAGTGAGACCCAACAGACAGAGTCTGAGACAGCCAAAGTCATCAGATGTCAGCTGAGCCACTGTCATCATCTGCATATGCTCTTCATCCACAGCAAAAGCAGATGATGCAGTTGAGCCTAACTTAACTAAGACAGCTTTTTATAGCCTAGGATAGCTAAGGAAGGAGACATAATTCTTCATGTCATTAAAGTCTTACTTCTTCATTTAACCAAGGAGATTTCATAGTGCTGAAACGATATAATCCCTCTCCAACTACCATGGAGACATAAATTGTATCCAGGCACGTTTTTAATATTGCCAAACTTTGTGTTTTCTGCTAATTTCATAATCTTATTCTCTATTAGTGTGGTGATTGACCCTGGTCAGCACCTAAGCACCTCACAGCCACTTGCTCACTCCCCACCCCAGAGGGACAGGGAAGAGAATAGAAAGACCAAAGGCAAGAAAACCCGTGAGTCAAGACAAAGTTTAATAACTGAAGGAAAGAGGAAAAAGAAACCCAACCAACAAGTGATGCAAAGGCAATCACTCACCACCTCCTGCAAGTAGACCAATGCCCAGCCAGTCTCTAAGCAACGCCCACCTCTCTCCAAAAAAACCCTCCCTTCAGTTTTTATTGCTGAGTATGATGTCGTAGGGCAGAGAATACCCCCTTGGTTAGTCTCGGTCAGCTGTCCCTGTTGTGTCCCCTCCCAACCTCTTGCCCACCCTAGGCCTAGCTGCTGAGGGGACAGAGTGGGAAAAAGAGAAAGCCTTGACGTTGTGCAAGTCCAGCTCATCAACAGCCAAAACACTGGTGCGTCATTAACACTGTTTTAGCCACAAATCCGAAACACAGCAGGGTATGGGTGGCTATGAAGAAAGTTAACTCCATCCTAGCCAGACCCAGTACAATTATGCCATTTGGATCACTAATAAAACAGTGCCCAAGACCAGGCACACTTTGATTCCTTTCCATACAACCTTTGACAAGAATTATTCTCTGGGTGCAGTCTGCAAATGGCCCTTGTAAAATACTTACAGCAAACCCATATACTCTACACATCTCTATTTTGCCTACAGGAAATAAGTAGAAACAGAATTAAAGACCTTACCACAGTCTGGATATTTGGCATTGATTGCTTCTGCTCTAACCACATGGCCTTGCGACCTTGTCAGAGAAGATTAGGCTGGTTGTAATGTAATTTTGTTCCTTACAAATCCACCCATACTGACAGATAAAGAAAGGCTACATAGAAGTAATTCAATCATTAAGAACTCAAGACTAAAAGGCATCTCAACTGCCATCACAGTGAATTTTTGAAAATGTGTGTGTTATGGTAGGGATCTGACAAGCTGGGAGAGCTGTTGCGGTACAGGACTTCATCTCTGGGTCTGGGTATTGAAAGTGAATGCTCTTGTCCTGAGGCAGAAGTGTTTCCAATGTAAGAGTTCCCAGATGTTTGCTTGACCTCACTTTGCTGCATCTTGCAGAGTAGAGATCAAAAGCTCTTTTGGCCAGGGCTTACTTTTTTTTTTTTAAATTTTCTGTGGTCCTGCTGGAAAATACAGGTGGGGATCTACATTAGTTCCTTGACCACTGCAAGCATAAACCTGCTTGCTCTTGGGCCTCCAGTGCTCACAGTATCATCAACTCTTCAGTGTGCATGGATTCCAAAACTGGGTAAAAGCACAGAAAAAAAATCACAAAGCGCTCCTCAATACAAGAAAACACCTCTGTATCAGGAACGCCCTGAGCTGCAAATTGCTGGAGGACAGGAGAATGGGGAGGTGTGATATATGCTTGCACCTTTCTTATAGTCTTCTGTAGGTGTGTGTTGTTAGGCTCTAGGGAGACAGATACTCTCATGTTACGGTCTAATTTGTCTTGGCTAGTGAAACGGTCTGAACCAACCAACCAAAAATTACTGTCATCATTGATCTACCAAGCCAAGATATCCTTAATGCCTTTTCCTTGTCACAATGCAACATTTGGAGTTGGTAGTGCTGTTACACCTGTTCTACAGACTAGGACCAGAAACATAAAAAATAAATTGACTTGGAGACGCATCTCCTGAGGTCCTGCTCCCCCAGCTGCATCACTGCACAAAGGACCTGGTTGGAGCTCTTGTGTTTCCTATCTGATCCCACGTCAGAGTTTCATTTCCAAGAAAACCAGAATGTGGCAGAAAAAGCTAGTAAAACCCACCCTACTGTGGGATCCGGGGTAAACTCCCAACTAAGAGTTTGAAAAAGTGCTGAATAGTTTAGAAGTCCCAGTTTAAAAGTAGCCAAAGAGATAAAGTGACCTGGCAGAGATTAAACAGACATCCTAGTGGGAGCCGAGTGTCCCAGGCTAGCCGGCAACCATGAGATGATCCCTCCCACAGAGCAACAGCTGTCTTCTGATCTTTTCATAATCTGATCTTAACACAGCCAAGACTTAACATTATCAGC